ACTAAGGGATAATAGTTGGGGTACCCGAAGAGATCTTGAGGCTGACAATATGGTTGATTTACAGTATTTTTGTTGCTTGTATACCACTCATAGTGTGTGGAAATGAAGTAATGGAAAATATATATAGCAAGTAAAGAATACCATTGGCCTGCAGAACTCCACATTCACCATTGATGGACTTTCACCAAATCCCTAGTAATAAGTAAAATGAAGCCATAGGTTACTACATGGGTTTTTTTGGTTATAGTTGTCCCTTCCTGTGTGAAATGAGTTCCCTAGGAAAGTCAGTCAGGAGCCATTCCTCGTGCTATTCTTGGCTAGAGGTGGATTTCACCCTGAACTGTTTTTTACATTTTAGCTATTTTGCTATATATTTGTGCTACTAAAAAATTCCATGTCTTTTATTTCAAAAGGCAACTTAAACTTTAGCTTAAAGGAAATGAGAAAGCTGCCATTGCAAAATATTTCAGGACTGGGACTCATCTGCAAACATGCTGGATATCATTTATGGTAAAATAATTGAGATCAATTTTGAATGACATTTTTTTGCCTTCTGAATTCAGTACAAAGAACCCTGCACCTACTTTATATTCAGCTAATCTGATTTTTGGCTTCTGAAATTTTAAATATTACAAGGATGGGTTTTTAAAATCCAACCTAGTGGTCCAGTGCTGTTATTTGGTTGTTTTTTTTCTACTAACATAACAAATCTGAAGTCCAATTGTAATGTAGCAAATGTAAAGAAGGCCATCCTGCGGAGGACTAGTAGGCCTCCTTGTGCAGTTGCTTGGCCACTGTGAGAAGAGGCTGCTGAACTAGATGGGTTAGAGGCCCAATCCAGCAAGGCACTGCTTATGTTCTTGTGATTTAGGAAAACAACGCATGTGTCTCCGAATCTCAACCTACTGAAAAGCTGCAGTAAAACCATCCTGGAATGAACATCTCTATGTTTCCTTCACACATCAGACTCTAGAAAACTGGTGCAATCAACACATCAACATGTTAATGGAGGGTCCTTAATGAGGAGCTTGGAAAAGCAGAATAAAGAGCTGCAGGCAGGAATACATAAGTGCATTCGTATTAATTGATCCAATCAAGTATGGCGACTGAATCTTGGGGGGGGGGGGGAACCTCTTCAAAAGTATCCGTGGCTGACTAGTTTAAGGGCAGAATGTCATCTTTATGGTAGGCAAAATGCAGGCAATAAGATGATGTATTCCCTGGGAATAAAGGGAAGCAAAACACTAATGGACTAAGACAAAAACTTCAAAAGGAGTGGAAATTTTTTTCCCTTTACCTTCTCTTAATCCAGGAATCTCCAACCTTGACAGCTTTTAAGACTTGTGGACTTCAACTCCCAGAATTCCTCAGCCAGCAAAGCCTCAGAAAATGTCTGAAACTCCATTCTATGTCATTTGCTTGATTTGCTACGCTGTGAATATGTAGTAAAGCGTAGTTTGTTCAGTAAATCTTGACTTAAGCAAACATTATGAGTGAACTTGGCCAATTAGGGTTAATGGAAACTAGAATTCAATAAGTAAATTTTCAGATAGATTGATAGCTTCAAAAAAGAAAAAGGAAATAATGATACCAGTTGCTCAATAAAGATAGCAAAAAGCTTATAGATAACATAAGGCAGAGCTTATTTTGGCTTCAGTGTTTTCTGAAAAGAGGATATATATTTCACAATAAACCATGAAGAGAGATAAAGGAGCATGTTTGTAGATTTTGCTTGGTATAGACTGGTGGTCCGTGAGAAAATTTTGGTGGGCTGCAGAGAAATGTCACCCCCAAAGCACTCACTCCAAAGTAATTAATCCAGGCTGCACAGGAAAGAAAGGCTGCGCCACCCACATGGCCAGCGGGAACACAAGGCTTGTGTCACTTGCGTTGTGAACAACACAAGGTAGTGAGAGGAGGCAGGAAAGAGTGGAGGGGGGAACTTGCCCCACTCACCCCACACACCTCGCCTGGACACTGGGATGCTTCTTTCCGCTTCTTTCTTCTGCTTTTGGCTGCACGCAAGGAAAGCAGCAAAAGTCTTTCTTTCTCTCCCCAAACTCCTCCAAAATTGAGTCTTTGGGACTCTGTGGGGCATCCTGCTCCAAGAGTCTGTGCCAGTGTGACAAGTCTCACAAAGACTCATTTCTGGCGGAGTTTGGGGGAGAGAAAGAAAGACTTCTGCTGCTTTCCTTGCATGAAGTCAAAAGTCTGTCTCTTTCTCTCTCTCCCCCTGAGAACGGAGCTGGAGACGGTATCCTGCGATCCCAAATAAAGAATGATCGATCGGTAGGAAAATGGGGTGGGGAATTTTCCTGCAGACTTTTGGGGGAATTTTTGCAGGGTCTCTGGTCTGTGGGATTTAAAATTATGAGTTTGGTGGTCCCTGAAGTCTAAAAGGTGGGCAACTGCTGGTATAGACAATGTCTCTTGACCTTCAATGAGAGCAGATGACTTGTACCTTCACTACTAAAGGAACCTGATCTTGCCTGATCTTTTTAAAGAATTAGAAAACAGTTGATTGGAGGGCACAAGTTTCAAGAAGGAAAGGTGAAACCTAGGAACTACAGACCAGTGATTGATATCTAAATGGATGGTTTCATTTGGATTTCAAAATTGGGCAACAGGTTGGACTCAATTATCTAGATCAGGGGTGTCAAACTCATGTCACGTGACGTATCAGGACTTTTCCCTTCACTAAACCAGGCATGGGTGTGGCCAGCACGTGATGCATCTGGGCCATAGCCCAGGAGCTTGAAAGCCTTGATCTAGATGGTTATCTCCCTCTTACAGGTGGAACCACAAAGTACGTTAGCCATTAATAAAACACAATGGCTGCATTCATGGAACATGCTATGTCCAAGGAGTCGATATTTAGCAAATACTGAACCACAAACAAGCTTTAGCTTATTCTACACTTGTACAAAGGAAGCCTAAAATTCAAAAGACTTAAACCATTTCTTCCTAAGATGATTCTCATGCAGACGTGTCAAACTCAAGGCCTGGGAGCCGATACAGCCTATGGGGTGCTTAGATCTAACCCACAGGGAACCCTGGAAACAGCGAAGGACCGGCCTGAGGTACCTCTGCCAGTGAAAACGGAGCTCCATTTTTCCTGACAGAGGGCTGCAGGAGACCATTGTGGCCAAAAACGGGGCATGCACAGCCCACTCAAAAACAGAGCTTGGGAGCCCATTTTCGCTGGCAGAGTGCTCAGACCACGGCAGGCGCCCCCTAACACAAGTGATGTCATGCTATCCATGCCCACCCTGGCCACACCCACTCCAGGTCTCTGAGGTCAAACAACCCTGATGCAGCCCTCAATGAGATTGACACCTCTGTTCTAACGAATGTAAATGCAACCAGAAAACAGTGACACGAGACACTGACTCCATTCCATTCACTTTGCACAGCAATGTGTACTTGGTCTATTCGAAGCCTCTTGACTTGGTTCCTCTGCCTAGGAACATGCTTCAGACATTGCTGCCCTCTGGCTTGGCTTTACTGCGTTCACCCTTCAAGAGCCATTCTAGCAGCCTGGTCTTAGTCAGTAACATAATACTCTATCCACAGAAAAGGTTTAGGCTGCACCAGCCTTTAATTTAACAGTTCTATGTAGCATTAACAGCTTCAGCCTATGACCACTTTCACTGCCAAATAGATGGATGGGTGACATGCAAATTGTTCAGTAATCGGTGCTCTAGTAAGTGTCTTGTCCTAAGGGGCATATCGTAACACGAAAAGCCTGCTGTTCAGAGCAGCCACTCAACCAAATCTCCCCTGAAGCTGAAAACTATTCAAACCAATTACTCTTTCATTCCCAGCTGCTGCAGGAATAACCAATAAGCTTGTCCACAGTTCAGAAAGAGAATAATGAGTTTTGCTTGCTGAACTTGCCCCAAACTTGATCCAAATGCAGCCCTAGAGTTGCATCAGTTTGAAAAGCACAGGAGAAAGTGTCTTGCCGACTCCCTGCTAGTAAGTAGGCACTGACCTTTGGTATCCTTACATCTGTGCTAAAAATCAGAGTATGACTACAACAGACCCCCAGCTTGTAGTGGGAAGGAAATGTAGTACAGAAAGAAGTAATGATGACAAGGACTACATCAGAACCAGTGGCATCTGGAGCCAGCTTCTCATAGTTAAAACCCTACATTCTGCAATAGTGCCCATCCAACATTCCTGATGCTTGAATGATAGCTCACATATATTCCATTTTGGCAAGAGGGAGCAGAAAACAAAACCAAACAGTTGGACGTTGTTAGGGGTACAATATTGAAAAAGCATTCTGAACAAAGGAGAGACAATTCAGGACACAGGAAGCACGGAGTACCAATTCTACTTCAGAAAGGTCTAGTTTTAATACTTGTGGCAACCTCCTGATCCTCTAAATATTAGACTGGCAAAAAAAAAAGTGCCATAAGGACCGCATCATGCTTACTAAGAATATAGCAACAGGTGTGATGGGTAAGTCTATGTATTCAAAACAGGAAAAGGTCCCAAATCCTCCTCACCCAAGTTGCTTGAGAGATGTATAGCATCTGCTCTGACCCCAGAAAACTTTATATTGTTCTAGATACCTTAGGGCATTTCTCTGACAATATTATCTAGTTCAGAAGCAGCTTATGAAATAAGCCACTTTCCAAGGACTCAACAACAGCATCGCTTCCAACTTCTAGTTGAGATGAATTGATCTGAGATTAATTGTAGTATCAGCCAGAGAAGCAAGTGGAAGGATGCTTCTCTTGACTTTTAAAAAGAACATGACTGTGTAGCATGACTGTGACCTTTATGATTGCATCTGTTAGTCAGTAAGAAAAGAGAAGCTGCAACAAGAATGCTTATTGCTTTCCCCATCAGAAAGTGTTCAAATGCCACTTGTCCTTGGACTGTACAACTGAAACATGCTGTAGATCTCAACTAGTGGACCAAAGTCTGCTGTTCATACATGTGCATGTGTGTTTGAGGCAGAGAATCATTTCATCATCATACAAAACTGCCAGGATTCAAAACATAAAGGAATCTTGGCTTTCCCAGTGACCAAAATTGAGAACAGAAATGGTCATTGACTTATTAAAAAGTGGCGTAAGACATTCGTTTATGCTATGCAACACTCAGACATCCCTCTCAGAAAGCAAAGCAGCTCAAGTTCTATCTAGCATGCTCAAGTTGCATGCCTGTCTGGTCTGACCAGCCGCCCTTTCATTCCACACTTGAAAAGGGTAAGCCAAATTAGTACCATACAGACACCACTTCTGAATCTACAGGGACTGGATAAGGTGGTTGGGGTCATGGGTCACCATGTGATCATTGTTTTACGGGAACGAGACCTTGATTATCCATACTTATAAGGGGCCCTATTCCACAAAGCAATGATTTCTCTCTTCCGATGTTTAGTTTGCCTCACAGAATTGGCACTCTTTTTATCTTCCTGTTAATCAGAATTGCAACGCTTCAGCTTGCTGCTCTTTATTAATATTCCACTATCAATACCTCCAAAGACCACATCATTATCACAGTCCTTTCTGAGAGGGGTTTCCCAAGAACCTTATAATTCTACTATTAACATTATTTAAGGAGGGCTCTCATCTGCAGGAATACTCTTATTTTGTCCCAAGCACAGCATTGATTAAAAAAAATCTACAAAAGCCTTAATTCCTGCAAAGGGGCTTGCTAAGCTCCAATGTTGTAGGATCATTTTATTCTTTAACTTACAAGTCCGATCATAAACAAATCACAACAATTGAAGTGAGCCATAGACAGAGTCCTTATTTGTTTACTCCATTGCAACTGGTGGAATCCTCTCAATGTCCCGACATTTGGAGTTCACCAGTTCCCTGCGGATTTCTGGAGAAATCTGGGAATGGTTGTGAAACTTCAACAACTCCAAGAGAGCTTCTTTCTGCTCGGAGGACAAGTCCTCTTTGTAGCGCTGGGCAAACGTCAAGAAGCACTGATGCCAAAGGACTGGTAGGGTTCGTTGGTCTTTCTGAAAGGCTAGAAAGTGAAAAACTAGAGCATCTACAACACGGAAAGGCAAGGCATATTTCTTGTCAATCAGCAGACGGAGAAAAATGCTGTTGGCACCACTGTATTCCATCTCAGCAATCTTTAGCATAGCAGCCCTAGCACAAGAAAACAAGAGAAAAGAATGGAAATAACACTTGAGTGCATGTTTATAGAACAATTTGATCATCTGATTGCAAAACTTAAGCGAAGGGTGATCAGGGGCCAAAGGATTAAGGGGATTTCCACATGATTTCAAAATTGCCTTGAAGGAGAACATTGGGATCCCTAGTGATGAAGGAAGTTAGACGAATAGCAAATCTTGTCCCTCTGCCTCAAATCCAATGTCTCCAGGCATGGATTTGGCCATGCCAGCTGGGATTATAGTTAAGTCTAACACCAAAGTATGTGCAAACCTGACAGGCACTGGACAAAAAGCAATTTGGGTTGTGGTTGGAGCAATGAAATGCAAAATGGCAACAATTCAGGTTGCTAATGTCTGTTACAGATAGTGCTTCTGTGCTTTGGAGATGGCCTGATTCGTACAGATAAAAACCTGAGGCTTTTCTTTTAAGCTTCACCTCTGTCTTGCACGGGTACTTGCTATTGTCAGGGCATCAGAGTGGAACCCATGGAAAAATTGGCAACCCTATTCCTGGCATGAAGTAATTTCCCCAAAACATTTAGGCCACAACTATCATATTACATTGTTGAACCCAAGAAAATAAGTAAATGACTAAATACAAGAATAGTACAAATCAAGCAAGGATTGTGTAGCAGACTGTTTTTATAATTCCCACTGCAAATTATGAATATAGTCTGAAATATTTTTTTTTCTCCCAAGACACTAAAATAATTTTTTGCCAGCAAGGTTTGAGAGCCAAGGACACAAGGATGAATGGCAAAGGAGACCCTGCTCCACATACACATCCCCACGACTATTTTCCTTCCACTGTTAAATTAGCTCAGCTTTCTTACCCCGAATGAAGGACTGGAATAGAGCACTTGGTGAGGATGCTGCCCACAATGATTGCTTCTCGCAATGTGCATGTTCCAGACTCACACAAAGGGATGAGAATTCCTGAGAGGGAAGGGAAAGAGAGAGTCAGAGATAACATAGCCTCTTCTAATGTAACACACACAAAATCCCAATCAGAAGCTCAAACAAAAACAGAATTCCCATCAGAAGCTCACATTAGCACACCAGCTTGAACTTGATTTTTCATGCTTCATGAACTTGAAACTTCAAGAATTCCATTTCTCTTAGATTAACCAATGTCTTTCTACTGACCTACTACCTTACGGAGTAGACCAACTCCAGGTAAGCCTCAAGTTACCAATGTAAATGGAGCCTGCCAATTATATTCGTAACTCAAGGATTCGTAAGAGTGAACCAAGTATAATCTGAACTCCCTGCTTTTGCCCACACATTTGCTAATCGAGTGTGCAGATTGTTAAGTGCACAAGCTATCTCAGCGTGGCGAAGGCCATGAGTGGCCTAGTGATAAAAACAAGCCACCCAAGGCCTCCCTGACCCGCTGAGATACCTCATGCTTCTCCTCTCCCATTCTGCCGTGCTGGAATCACTTAATTTGCAAAAGTCTGCCTCCTCTCTGCCACACTTCCTTTGCTTTTGAGGGAGAGGAGAGCAGGGCAATTTCCCTTCCAATGTCTGGTCGGCTTGCTAATGCTTTTCACACCAAGAGTGAAAGGTTCTGGGGGCCCTGATCTTGCGTGACTTCAGGCGCCATTCTCTACAAAAACAGATGGGGGAACTGAAGTTGCACAGCAGAACTTTTCACTCTTAGCATGAAAAGCATTTGCAAGCTGAGTGGACACAGAGGAAGGGGAATCGTCCTGCCCTCCTCTCCCTCAAAGGCAAAGAAGCCACAGTAGAGAGGAGACAGACCTTTGCCAGGTGAGTCCAGCCTGGCAGGATGAGAGGGGGAAGCAGTGGTGAGGAATAGGAGGGAGGGGCAGGGGAATAGGATGAATGTTGCAGTGCCTCTGCAGTTGTTCGTTAAGGGTGAACAACTGCTGCAGTGCTGCAACTTTTGTAATTTTGAGACTTTGTTGTAAACACCTGGGTGGGTTACTGCATAATTTCAAATGGTCAATAATTGAACTGTCATAACTAGAGGATTACAGATTCACTGATCTCCACTTTCTGCTGCTAGTTATAGCTCATTAGTATGAACAGGGTCAGCCAGCCTTGGTCTCACCTCCACTAAGCATCTGTTTTATCAATAATCCTATGTTTTAATTTTTTTCAAACACCACGCTACCTCATTATTCTTTTTGGCATGCATGTGCTGTATAGGATATGGAGAAACCATTCCAATGTTGAAGAGCTTATATCATTTCTCTACGACTGCAGGGACTTACAAACTGTAGTTGCAATTTATGCAATTCAAGAAGTTTTGAATGTAACCTAGGGAGACTTTCAAAAACTGACTACAAAATTGTTTCAGAGAGAAAAGATGGGGGCCTTATATAACACATACAGCTGAAGAGTAACAATATTAACTGTATTTCAGTTTAATTATGCTTAAATGTAAATTAAATCACATCAAGTACACGTAGTCCTCAATTTACAACAGTTCATTTAGTGACCAGAGTTACAGTGGCACTGGAAAAGTGACTTACCACTATTTTTCACATTTGCGGCCACTGCAGCATCTCCATGGTCACATGATCAAAATTCAGCTGCTTAGCAACTCATATTTATGACGGTTGCAATGTCCTTGGGTTATGTGATCTGCTTTTGCGAACTTCTGTCAAGCAAAATCAATCGGGAAGCCAGATTCACTTAACCACCATCTTACTAACTTAACAGCAGTGGTTCACTTAACGACGGTGGCAAGAAAGGCCATAAAATGGGGCCAAATTTAGTTAATAAATGTTTCACTTAGCAACAGAAATTTTGGGCTCAATTGTGGTTGTAAGTTGAGGATTACCTATATTGGACTTCCCTACATCTATTATTGTTTGGAATAATGTATGACCCTCAGACTAGGAAAACTTCTGCATCTCCTCTCATTGTAGTCTCTACCAAATTTCAATTTTTCCCTGCCACATTGTTTTTTGCTAGTTAGTATTGATCCATGCCAACTTATCTTAAACCACGTATCTGTGCAGCTTCATTCTTTTGGTTGCTACCTTTGTTGCTTGCATGACAAAATGTATTATCCTTTAAAGTCTAACTTAAGGTTTTCTATTAGATCGCAGAGGGGTATCAGAAAAAGCTGGATCCCATCACCTCTGCAAAAGAACCCTCCTCCATCAGGTTCCTCCTTCTAGCCTTCGTTGCTTGGCAGAAGCTATTCTGAGGTTGCACTGGAGGAAGTCAGCCTCTCCTCTGATCCAGCTGACGATTCAGCAACACCAGTTCCTCTTCCTTTTGAACCGTTTCTTTTTCAGCTGCTGGGACAGCAAACAGAAATGGGCGCCCCCATCCCACAAACTCCTTGATCTCAGATTATAATCCTAAGGAAAGAAATTTGCCTCACTGAATTTGAATCTGTCAGAATCTTTTTTTGGTTCTTGCGAAGGTGGTCCTTGACACAAAAACAGTTAATTTATAGTAGTAGGGGAAGAAATGCAAGCAAGCACAGAAAAAAGGCAAACACGTATTTCAGATCAAAATGAAACTTCTAGCTTGCATATCCTATCGTATTGCCTTTTAAAATAAATTTATTACAGGACAATGGTAGCAGTGAAGTGTGAGAGAATAAATCTGAAACAAATGCTTGTAAGATGAGAACATTAGCAATGTATTTTCTAGCGGAAAACAAGAAACTAAGAATTGCTTGACAATTTTATATTTTAATTATCATTCAATTGTAAGCAACTCACCTTTGAACCATGCTCCGGGTTTGAACAAAGCCTTCTTCAGAGCCATATAAAGATGGAAATTGAGGCGTTTGTATTCAGCAATATCATCTCGGATTCGTGGGAGAAGCACGAGATTGTAGAATCTCTGGGCCATCCTCTCTTTAAGATTAGAAGAAAAAATTCTAGAACAGATAATAAAAGCATGAGAGGAAGGAGAGAAGGTGAAAAAGGAAATATTTCAGCTGGGAAAACTTAACTAAAAGTTAAGATCAACTTTTATAATATAGTATATATATATCATTTTAGTATGCTTATAATAATCTCAATAAATATTTTATACAACAACCAGACTTCAGCGATGTTCACACATACGAAAGACAAAACCTAGAAAGGCCGTATAAAAACCAGATCTTGACATATATGCATCTCGTAAAATTCTCACAACTATATTCAACAAGAAAATTAATCTTTGCAGTGGCTTTAATGTTCAGAAGTAGGAATAAGTAAAAGCGATTGATTCAGGAATAGAATTCCAGAGAATTCCAGAATTTCTGTTCCCCTTCCAGGCTACGCTGAATCTCCTCCAGGAGGTTCAAAAGGGCTCTAGAAATATATTTCTCCCCAAAATGATTGAAAGTGTCCAAGATATAACATTCTGGTCAAGATAAACCTGTTTAAAATGCTCTGTGAGAAAAAAACATAGAATGTCCCTAATACAGAATGTCCGCAAACTGAGCCACTAAGGTGTCTTTCATCTACTACCCTTTGAACAAAACGCATATCTCATCTCACCTATATGTAGTGCAAGAAAAATGTGTTTTTTAATTGAACACTGCATTTTTACTTGACAAAGAAGCCCATATAGGACTGTTGGATATGAATTTCTTTTATGAGAGGATTGTGTCTATCGATAACAATCAGAAGCAGAAAGCCCTTCTACAGTACTAGGGTTCACAAAAATGGGGAAATATTCATAATTACACCTCAACATCCCACACTAAAAAAAAATCTGAAAAGCGTGCCTTGGGAGTTAAAATAGTCTCTTTCAGTTTTATAACATAAGCTTGATTTATTGAAACTGTCACTTTGAATGCGCCCAGATCAGAAAGGAGCTGCTAGTGAATGAAAAACAGCAAGGCAGCATTATCTATAGCAGAATCCTACCTTGTGGCTTGGTACATGGCAGCTGCTGTCCATGTTTCTGGCTCTGTGATATAAAGCATCTGCTCCCAATTGGATAATGCTGGGATTATCTTGAAGGCTTTCGGCAGCTTTCCACTTCTGTATTTTGACAATACCTTTAGCAACATTTTAAAAGTGATTAATTATACAATAGCAATAATCAGCATTTGCTAATTACAAGCTATATTTCCTGTTCACAAAGTCTTTATAGCAAAGAGAGATATCAGGGATCCTTCACTGATATTATTCTATTTTCTTTTTCATGAATATTAATAACTATAATAAACTGAAATGCAGTATTAGTTATGAACAACACACATGACTGGGTGTACTAGATTTTTTTTTTCAGCAATTAGCTCACATTTATTTATATACATGATTTACAAACACATAGCTAGCAAAACACATACCCATTACACTTACTTCTTTGACACCTTTGTAGACTTCTAGGACACGGAGGTTAAGCTTTGGCATGGGTCGGCCAGATATTTCTGACATCACCGTCTCTACCTCCGTCTGTTTTTCTGTTAGCTTCTCCATGATGATATCTGCTAAGGTGCGCCTAATAGGTTCCAAATGGAGGAAAATGGAGCAGATAACTTATTCAGCCCCTTATTAGCAAATTAAGTAGGAGAAACAGCATTAAAGGTGGATTTTAATCTGACTTGTAATACTTCAGAATAAGGTTTCTTAGGTGGCCCTTCACTATCACCTATGATTGTTCAGTTCAGAAGGTTATGGTTAAAAACAAGCAACTTGAAAGTGCAAACATCTTTACTTATACTATCATTTAATACTCCTGTCCAATCTCTTTAAAAATACAAGCTTATTTTCTACATTTAGGGCAATTTAGGAATTCCTCTTTGTTCTCCCATGAGAACACCTTCAGAGCAGATTTGGGGTCCATACAATGGCTGCAGTGGGAAGAAAACAAGCAACGCACAATGAAATGCAGGCACCACTGATAAATGTTGTACTTTTGAAAATGCCAATTTTACAGCTTCTCATACATCCACATAATATTTAGTCCACAAAAGTTAAAAATGAATATATATAAAAAGTTACATTACAAAGTTATGCCAATAAAAATATATTCTAAGGGAGGTAAACTGTATAATATTTGTGCTGGGTTTCAAATTTGTAAAGATAGGACACACACATACACACGAATTAAAAATAGATGTGAATCTCGAGATTCTAAATGCAACATTCTGTACCCAATAATTAAAGCACCATCTGCTGGTTAAAGAACAAGAAAAGAAAGTTTTAGAATTATAGAATACTTTGTTGCTAGCTGAAGCATTGATTTCAACATCCACTAAGGGATACTGAGGCATTAGTGAGAAAACATCCCCAATCCCTTAAGACGCATCTGTACATCCATTACTATTGGAGGCTCCTGAACAGGTAAATTTTTCTGAGATAGTCTGAAGCTGCTTAGATCCATTAGGAGACACTGAAATGTGGAGAAACTGTCATTCTGATCAGTACCATTAAACTGCCATATCTGAGTACAATGGAGAAGTTCTTATAGTGGATATGACTAAAATCTGGCCCACAGAATTCCTTTGGTAAACATGAACTATAAGAGAGTACACTGGTGACCTAAAATCTGCCCATCTCTTGCATTTACTTATATGAAGAATTATAATGAAGAGCTTTCTTTATGGATAAAGGGAAATTAAAACTTTAGCCTTGATGAGAACTCCTGAATGAAACAGTTACTATTTACCATGGGGATACTGCAAGATGTACCAGGGCTTGACTAGTGATGGGAAACAAATGAGTTAGCTATCTAAACATGATCAGAATCTTATTCACAGTTGGTAGATTTAGATTAGACAAATATATGGTTTTAAAGATTGTAAGACTGAATTTGAAACAGAATTGTGTATAAATAATAAACATGTATATAACTGCTAAAATGTATGAATTTTTTTTCTGAAATCTGAAAAAGAAATACAAGCGAAAGAACTGATAGAATGGCCTAGAAATCTTGCTTACAATACACAGATGGAACAGGAAAAATGTGATTGAAAGGATTTAAATTTACATGATGATATAATCTTAAGGGGGAGAGTTAAAGCAATTAAAAGATGTTGAGCTGGAAAGCTGACAGCCTGGGTTTGAGAGCTGAGTGTCATGCAACAGGGTAAGTTCCCATTGTTTGCCCCAGCTCCTGTCCACAAGCAGTTTGAAAGCATGCAAATGCAAGTAAATAGTTATCACTTTGGTAGGAATGTAACAATGTTCCATGTTTCTCAGCATACAGTCATGCTGACCACATGACATGAAAATGTCTTCAAATAACACTGGCTCTCTCGTGCCCAGAGTCGGAATCGCCTGGACAGGTTATACCTTTTATAATCTGAAATTGGTCTGAAACTCAATATTAAAAAAACTAAGATCATGGCATCTGGTCCCATCACTTTCTGGCAAATAGAAGGTGGAAAAATGGAAGCAGTGACAGATTTTATTTTCTTGGGCTCCAAGATCACTGCAGGTGGTGACTGCAGCCATGAAATTAAAAGACGCCTGCTTCTTGGGAGGGAAACTTGGACAGCATATTAAAAAGCAGAGACCTCACCTTGCTGACAAAGGTTGGTATCGCTGTGGTTGTCCTAGTAGTAATATATGGATGTGAGAGTTGGACCATAAACAAGGCTGAGCATTGAAGAATTAATGCTTTAGAATTGTGGTGCTGGAGAAGTCACTTGAGAGTACCATGGATTGCAAGGAGATCAAATCAGTCGACCCGAAAGGAAATCAACCTTGACTATTCTTTAGGATAGATACTAAAAGCTAAAGCTCAATAATTTGGCCATCAAATGAGAAGAGATGACTCATTGGAAAAGACCTGAGGCTTCTATTCCTCTTTACATTAGTTATAAATGCAATTATAAATTTTATCTCTTACTCTGCGATTACAACCTGTCTCCTTTCTTTCTATAATTTATCCAGCTTAATTAAAACCCAAATCATAAAGTTTATTTTTTCTGTTTTCTGCAAAAAGTCTTTGAGGTGTTGCCAGTCAGAAATAAACATAGATATTGCCTTTTCTCTGCTCAAATTAGCCATCTCAGCAAGTTTCATTTACATCATCCATTAACAATTTATCCTAGAAGCTACCATAATATCGGTATTTGATCATTTGACTTACCTCACTGGTGGGTTCTTGCTCATGAACATTTCAATGGCTTTTTCGTCATCTGAATTTACAGTCATTTCTTCACAATACTCTTCCTTCTCCATGGCTCCAGCTGCCCCCAGCTCTGGCCACTCATCATCCTCTGCATCTGAGTCTCCATCCTTTGAGGTAGGTCCTGAAAAAGAAGAAAATATTTTAGAGGAAGAAACTTTAGATTACACTTTTCATTTAAATTAGTAAAGTGGGGGAAGGGGTATCCATTATATTAGAATGTCCATTAAATTCCAATGGCATATCTACCTTACCTGTTAGGCCTACATAAATTCAAATGGGATTTTATATATGCATATTTTATGCAAAACAACTAAACCACAATCTATTAAATGGAGTTTATCCAACCTGTATGATTAACTGATTATGTGCCATCAAATGTGTTGACTCTTCACCACCACATAGATTTTCTCATAATGATGTCTCCCTAACCTGGTTCTCTATGTCTTATGTATTACATAATATCATAAATATGGAACAACAACAGCTAAAAATCAGCCATGTACTAGATATTAAAAAACAATGTTATATCAAATTTTATTTCACTATCCTGGATAAAGAAAATAAGAACTCTAGATAACACAAGCCAGAAAGATTTCACATTTGTTATTGACTGAAAAGCTAACCATCCTTTTTCTCTACTAAAAAAATGAAAACAACCTAGGAGTTAAGGCCAGAAGTTTAACTCCAGCCTCCATCTACTGATACTCTGTATGAAGGACAAACATTTTTTTTTAAAGTCTGGGTTCAGATATAATTTTAGAACCTACTAGGCAGTTTTTGTTTCTCTGACAGTTAATCTCCTTGAGGGAAGCTGATCAAACTCCTGCTTTATCTCTCACAGCTTCTCATGTTCTTGGTGGGGTCGGTGTCTCCTGTAATTGCGAGATTTATATCTTGCAGTTTCTGTTGTGACTTTCACAATGGCAATCTGAAATCCCGGAAGCCTATGCCATTATACCTTTTAAGACGCCGACGAATAATCATCCGTTCACCCTGGCATTCCCTTGTAAATCTTATGGATTACTCCCTCCCCCCAACTTGTTGCATGTTGTGTTTTAATCATTTATAATCTTCGGGTAAACCGCAGCAAAAACGTTTTTTCTTTAAAAAAAACACCAAAAAAAACACCCCACGTGTCTTTCCGAATACTTTGGCTGAACAAGAAAATAGTTTGCCCCGTCTTTCCAGCCACAAGCTTCCTAGACACGCTCACCCAGGACTGTCGTCTTCTTCCTGGGCTCGTGGCTCCGGCCAACGCCGTGCTCGGCCTCCAGCTCTTCTTGCTGGATGCGAGCCTGCTGCAAGATCCGCCGGGAGAGCTTCTCGTCCACATACTCGCCCTCCTCTTCTCCCCCACCATCATGCTTCCCCGCCTGGCCACGTCGCTTGATCCTCGTGACGGGCTTCACGGCATCGCTCTGAGCAATCTGCTCGGCCAAGGGGACGCTGGTCGCCGTTGCCCCACCGGAGCCTCTCGGCCGCTTCGCCTTGGGCATGACGACCCCGCCGATGGAGCACGCAGCAACGCGAGGAAATTAGGACTTGCCCACACACGCATGCGCGTTCGTTGCGCATCACCCGGTGCGGAGTTACAGCTGAAAGGAGAGGTGACTCCGGAGATCCTGGAGACTTTTTAAAACCTCCCCGAGAGACATAAGGGGCAATTTCCTTCTTTTTCTTTGGAGCTGTGTTGCGTGTGGCATTGCAACACAGATGCGATCTATTGTTCTCAGGGGGAAGAAGTTGTGCGGGCTGGACAGAATTAGTGGCCTTTCCTGTAGTCCAAGGGTCTTCAAACTTGGCAAGTTTAAGACTTGTGGACTTTATTTATTTGATTTGATTTGTCAATCACTTACAAGATAATAGGTATAAGTATATACATTGTTATGAATACATGAAATGGGTACATATAAGGAAAATAAAAGAAACAATAGGACAGGGACGTTGGTGCGCTTATGCATGCCCCTTACAGACCTCTTAGGAAAGGGGTGAGGTCAATATTAGACAGTCTAAGGTTAAAGTTTTTGGGGTTTGGGGAAGAAACCACAGAGTCGGGTATTCCGGGTAGTTGAAGTCCCCCAGGCTTAAAGTTGCCAAGGTTGGAGACCCCTGGTTTAAGATGAAGCTGCCTGAGACTGCAGTGTTTTTATTGTGAATTGAGAGCCCACAGACTTACCCTGAATCAATTCAGAACTATTGATAGTTTCTGTCAGCAACCATTGGGAGCAGAAAGTAGCCTTTCGACTCAATGTCAAATTATAAGTTTATATTTGAGACTGTCCATCTGATGAGAGGTGGGAGCAAAGCTCTTTTTCCACCTTATAGCCATGCTTACTTCATCAAAGACACAAGTTGTTCAGATTGTCCTTTGCGTGATCCTTGGATTATAGTAGTGTGATCACAGTTGCCTTAGACCAAGGATCTTCAAACTTGGCAAGTTTAAGATTTGTGGACTTCAACTCCCAGAATTCCAGAGCTAACCTGACTGGAAGAGGAATTCCGGGTATTGAAGTCCATATGTTTTAAAGCTGTCAAGTTTGAAGACCCCCCCCCTAGACATAGTTAAAACTCCACTCCTAACAGTAGATGTTACCTAGTTGGGTAATGAAATGTCTGCAAGGGGGGGAGCCCAAGCTCAAGAGAGGACCAAAGACCCCCCACAGTTGAACCCTGAGTTACAGATGTTTTCTATAGTTAAAACAGGCAAAGTGATACCTAAATGAAAGTAAATTTAATCTTCTCGAAGTTGGAATCTACCTGTTTCCAGATAACAGGCCAACTTAAAATGATCAAAGTGAGAAATGCTGGGACTGATAATTTAGCTATGCATGGGAGAAAACAAACCTCCTTTGCCTACTTTTAAAATTTGTCTTCCTTTCACCTCCATTAAAAACAATATGCACACGCCACAAATTAGGAGGCAGCTTGGTGCACTGAAGCACATGGAATAGAATAGAATAGAATAGAATAGAATAGAATACAATACAATACAATACAATACAATACAATACAATACAATAGAATTCTTTATTGGCCAAGTGTGATTGGACACACAAGGAATTTGTCTTGGTGCAAATGCTCTGTGTACATAAAAGAAAAGATATATTAGTCAAGAGTCAAGAATCATAACGGACAACACTCTTTGGTTAATGTGCTATTATCGCAAACGGATCTCCTTTATTTACGCGCATTCTTATCGGGATGTTTTTGCAGAATTAAGTGGGGTTAACTACTGCCAAAACAGCACATAGAAACAGCAGGGCTTATTCAGCAGGAGACGCTGCTTCGCGAGAGCTCTGGTCGTCATCCGGTTACGTCACTTCCGCTTTGGTTTCTTCTGGTAGAAGCGGGGGCAAGGAAGGCGGGTCTGGCTGGGAGGTCGCTGCAACGCTTCACAATCCGAGAGGAAACAACCCGGAGTTGTTGGGCGCCCTTGCTGCAAAAAACAACAACAACAAACAAAAACAAAAACCCCGACCCCCATCGTGCTCGGAGGCCGTGGCAAGCATGGGCGTCACCTGGTAGGGTATTTTTGTTGATGTTACGAAGCTGGTGGTGTCTTGGAACGCTTTGGCTTGAGCGCTTAAGGTGCCAGAACGAGGTTGGCGCCTAACCGAAGAGGATCTGGGATTGTAATACGTATCTTAAGCACTTCCAAGTAACGAGGGAGGCCATGGAACAGCCCGTGTAGCTGCAGACATTTTAAAGCAGCCCTGGCAACTTTAAGCCTGGCGGACTTCAACTCTCTTGAAATACCCTACCAGGTGACGCCCATGCAAGCTTGCCACGGCCTTCGAGCACGATGGGGGTCGGGGCTTTTGTTTTCGTTTGTTGTTGTTTTGCAGCAAGGGCGCCCAACAACTCCGGGTTGTTTCCTCTCGGTTGAAGTCCGCCAGGCTTAAAAGTTGCTAAGGCTGGAGACCCCTGCTTTAAAGAGACTTTTCGTACGGGTGGTGGTGGAATTTCTGATTTCTTTATCCTCTTGCTGTCAAGGAAATATTTATAACGCAGCCACCTGGCGAAATATTCTGGACTACCTCCCTTTGCCTTCAGTCTGCCCGTTTATAGAAGGTGGGGATCGTTGTCCGACACACCCGGAGGGCCCCTGGTGGTAATATCGAGGGCAATACCGAAGAAAAGGCGCGGCTAACGTGAGAAAGAAAAAAAAAATCCCCAGGAGACTCACGTTCCGTAGTTTTGTGATGGTTTTGACAACGATTATTTGCAGCAATGGTTAGCCCATGGTCGCATCTTCAGCCAACCTTCAAAAAGATGTCCAATTGTGGTGGTGGATTTCCTAAGTGTTCCGGGTATTTCCTCCTGAGTGTTTACATTTCCAGAAATAGAATTGTGAACCCACATCTGATCTTATTCTATCAAATCAAAGTTTTATATCTGAATCATTCCTTGATTGCAAAAATAAGTCTTACGTGCTACAACTTCGTTTAATATAGATTTAATAAGTAATCTGACTCTAAAACTGCTATAAGAACAAATATATTTTATTTAAATTTTACATAGGCTATTGCTCAAAAGTAAACTATAAAACTAATAATATATACTTGGAAGGAAGCATGTTTAATGTCAGCTCCAAAAATGTTTTTGTGTAGTAATGTATTAGTAAACTGCATGGGGTTGTAGGTTTCACTGTTTTCAGTTTTGTTTGGACCAAACATAATTTTCTAAAATAAAGATAAAAAGCATTTGGGCAATGACAGTCTCCATATGGGTATCAGGCTATGGTTTAGATGGCATTTATGTTTAACAGGAAAATATTGGCAGCTTAAAATAGGGAGACAAGACTATAGTCACATGCTGTCTTTACCAGTTTGCTCTGAGTCCTACTGTATTATCTGAAGGGGTCTTACAGGTCAATGTATGCCTTACCTTGTACTTTAATTTTGATTCTTCAAGATCAAAAGGACATGGATGGGAAAGTAATGGGGGGGGGGGTTCAAGTGAAGTCTCTCTAGGTCAGGGATCTTCAAACTTGACAGCTTTAAGACTTGTGGACTTCAACTCCCAGAATTCCTCCTCCAGTCGTGTTAGCTCAGGAATTCTGGGAGTTGAAGTCCACAAGTCTTAAACTTGCCAAGTTTGAAGAGCCTTGCTCTAGGTGAAGTTTCTTTAGGTAAACTATGTTTTCTTCCTATTCCTCAATTCATTCTCACAGGAAAACAGATAACAAGGACATAAGAAGCATAACAGTGATTATGGACACATTTGGGCAACTGTGGCTTTCTACTACAGTGTGAAATGAGAAAATGTTATTGGCAAGTCAATGCGAACACAGGCAAAAATGTTTGGTAACAGCTAAATCAATCATGATTTGTCTGTTATTGGACATAGAGCATCTTGCCTATAGTTAGTACAGACAATGCTTAATGAAAGTGCTATTGTGATATAGACAGTCTTCTCATTTGATGCAGAGTAAGGATGCTCCATTTCTTACACTCATTTCCTTGTGTGTGTTGTCACCATAGCAATAAATATAGGTTTTTTGGAGGTATGCATGTTTTTCATAGTTAAAAAGTCATATTTCTTGTGCTAGTATATCTCAGATGCCAGTAACAGAGGGAAAAAGTGTTCAGCAAACAGTTGAAACCTTAACAAGAAAACTGGAGCTACTTGGTGCAGAAAAACAAGGAACATTTTGTGTGGATTGTGAAACCTACCATACTGCGGCCTCCACAATGGGCAGTCAAGGTGAGTTTTTTCTGCCTTCAAAAATTGGTATAGTCAGATCCTTCCAGTACATTTCTATTCGTTAATTGGAACATGGTAACATTTAAATGCATCTCAGCAAGTAACTTTATAGCCAAAAGTAACTGTAAAGTAACTTTTATCATGCAGAGTAACTTTCTGACATATAGTCATTAATCTTCAGATACTAATCGTGAACTAATTAGGTTATAAAGAAGCATGTTGGAAATCTAGTACTTTGTGTACATATATAATATTTTACCACACAATGCTGCCCTGTTAGCTGTTAATTTGGATACTTTACTGAAGCATTAAGGTTTCTGTGTTTTAGTTTCTTTGTCTTATCTCAGTCATATGAAGATGACATACTATTAAATTTTGGGCAACAAGAAAAGCTAATAGTTTAACAGCAATCTTGATATCTGACAGCAACACTGCATTTTTCCCAAGTCCAAAAACATGCTTGTCTGCTCAAATGCACCTGGTCAATATCAAGCTTTCTTACCTGGTTGCTAGAAATAATTATTTATTATATAACTTGGAACTGTAATTGATCACAAACAGTAGCAAGATATGGCTGAAAAATCAGTTTCAGTTTTGGGTTCCATCACTAGAAGTGTAGTTTCCTAATGACTGGAAAGAATAGTTCCGTTCTGTTTTATATTGGCCAGTAAACTCTTGTGTTACATAACCAGTTACAGGAACTGAATTTCACACATTTCTGTTTGATAGAATCCTTCCTAAAGAAGCCCAGTGAGGATAACTGTCTGGAAACTAAATCCTACAAGGAGAGACTAAAGGAACTGATTAAATATTCCTTGAGAAACAGTGACTGAAGAGGGAGGTATAATGCTGCTCTTCAAATATCTGAAGAGATGTCTCAGGGAAGAAGGCCATGATCATGTTAGAATATTAAAAATGAAATTATCTTAAGTTACAAAAAAACAAATTCTTTTTGATATTAGGAAAAAAAATCCAAATGGTAAGAGTAACAGTGGAACCAGTTACCAGTTCTTCTCTAGAAGCATTGAATCTAAACAACTGTTGGGAATGCTTTAAATAGGAATTTTGGTTAAATCAGAATTGAACTCAGTGATTTAACTGTCCCGTTATAAGTAGAATGCTATTTTAATGCTTTTCAGAACTGCTTATGCATTTTCATGCTTTCTTTATGTAAACAAATATGCTTTTCTTTTTAGTACCACTTTGTTTTAAAAGTTGCCTTCTGTGTGCTCAGTAGAGCAAACCGAATTAACCTAATTTTTATAAAATTTAAAACACTGCAGTATTAAAAACACTTATTTAGGGAGTGTTCCCCTGATCTGTATTAAAACAGATAGGCAGATAGTATTTTACCTGTTCTAGATGCTAGTTTTAAGGAAAATCATGTCAGGACCAGATATTCTGTTTAAACATTTGTTTATGTGACTGTCCACAGAATGTGCTGCTGCTTCTGTTGAAAATTAGTTTTCCTTAGGCCTAAAAGTTCACAGCAGAAAAAATCCTTTTTCTTTCACGTTATTTGGAAATAAGCTGTATGCTTGTTTGACAGATACATCCTTTACATTTAAGGCTAAAATCCATTCATCTGGAAGTAAATCCTTACTGCATGAAATCTCTTCCATGATTTGCTAAGATAACTTCCTTTCCTGGGTTGAATTGTTAAGCCTTGCAGATATTTATTAAGGTTCTGTGCAAGAATGATCCCAAAGTTTCCATTTTCAAGCACCTTAAAGTATGCTCACTAGAACAGTGGTCTCTAACTCTTGAGCTTGGCCTAGTACCAGGCGATGGCCTATTTGAAACTGGGCCTTGCACCCAGCACTTACACAAATGCAGCTGCGCACACAAGCATGCCCCCCCCCCCCCGTTTGTTTCCCAAAGCTGGAAAGGTTGGGAACCAGTGCATTAGAATGTCAAAAGATTATATGTTAGATAAGATAAATGTTTCTCTAGCTTAGAATAGTGTTTCACGTAGTTGAATAATATCATTACATTTCACATAAATCCTCAGTGGCCATCAAATCTTTTATGGAGAAAGAATAAGATAAATATTCTGTGATATAATCAAGTGAAAGAGGGACAACGATGTTACAATTTTTCTGGTTCCTAAGAGAGAAAAAATAGTTCTCTGTTGTTTTGCTATTGTTTCAGGACAGACTGCCAAACTGATGTATGTGATGCACAATTCGGAATATCCCCTCAGCTGTTTTGCTCTCTTTGAAAATGGCCCATGTCTCATAGCAGATACCAACTTTGACATACTTATGGTGAAATTGAAAGGCTTCTTTCAAAATGCCAAAGGAAACAAAATAGAGAGCCGAGGCACTCGGTACCAGTACTGTGATTTTTTGGTGAAGGTTGGCACAGTCACCATGGGGCCCAGCGCCCGTGGAATATCTGTTGAGGTAAGGGTTGGCTGAAATAAATAGCATGATTAATATTTGGAATAATAGGAGCTTTTTATTTGAGATCATATCCTGAATGCTGCACATATAGTATAGCTAGTGAAAGGTGACCATAGTATGTTGGCTACATCTCTAGAATAGAGAACCTATCTTGATTAATACAGTATGAGTAAGCTTGAGATAAAACTGGAGTTTGTTTTGTGGCAAATGGACTAAAATATTCAAAACTGACATCTATGCCTTAGGATTAGCAGGGAATGTTTAATGTAGCATGGATATGATTAAAGCTGGTAACTTATATATTATTCTTATTTACTATAAAGTGTTATATGAGCCCAAATTGACAAAAGTCACCACCAAACTAAGAAAAAGTGAAATAATGATATAAATGTGAATGAGATTGCTCTGATCTTGTGGAGTAGAATATAAACGTGGAAGTGAAGATGTAGATTTAATCGTAATGAAAGCTGCCTAGAGTCTAAAATGTAGGTGACTTAAGTCAGTAAATAAATAACAGGGCTAAAAATTACAATTTTCAATCTTCTAGATCAGGAGCGTCTAATCTTGGCTCTTTTAAGACTTTTGGATTTCAACTCCCAGAATTTCCAGCACAGCCAGGATGAGAGTTCTGGGTGCATATGAAAATAGAAATTTGTAGGCTGATGATAGTTGAATTGGGGAGGGCGGGGGGGGGAAGGATTGCAACATTCCAAATGGATGGAATCCAGGGTTATTTCACTGACTTGACTGGATGGGTAAAAAAAAAACAAGATGAAATGACACAAAAAATACTGGGCTATTTAAATACCCAAGAATGAGCGGACATGTTTAATAAGTTTTTGCTCATAAAAAGGTCTTTTTCAAATACATGATTTAAGTCTATTCATGCATACAGAAAGAAAAGGAATGGATTGAAAAACACAAGTAATTGTTTGTATTGAAAGACTGAAATAACTGCAGGATACAAAGGTGACAAGAGGTTCTGAATATAGGACAAACCGTTCTTTTTATAACATCAAGAGTGTATCTTGGGAAAAGATGGACATAGAAGTAAAGGAAAAAGTAAAAGAACTGAGTGAAAACAGAATAGAATGCAGAAAGAGTGAGATGAGAATGATTGCCAGGAAAATACTGTACAATGTTCTAGATAAAAAAAAGTAACAGCAAAGGATGTAGTCAAAGAGCAAGAAACAATTAAGATCTTAAACAGCACAAAAAACAAAGAGCAATATTGATAGAAATAAAAACATTGTTTTGGATGTGGAAGAGAAGATTAAAGAAGGAGCCTCTAGAACGGATGGACCTAAAAATAAACACAATGAAATTATTTCAGATAAAGCAAAGTGAGAATGATGCCAGGGATGTTTTATAAATTATCATACTTTGGGCATATTATGTCAAGATCCAGTTCTGTAAACAAGACTACAGTATAATTCTGGGACAGATGTAAGGAAAAAGAAGAGAATGACTAACAGCAAGGTAGATAAATTCAATTACAGCAGCAATGGGTACAACATTGGAAGACCTGAAAGACCAGATTGGGGATAGATTGTAGTGGAGAAAATCTATCTGTGTAGTTGCTAAATCAGTCTAATAACTTATTGAGTGAATAGCTGTGAATGATTCACAGAAATTAAAAGATGTGTTATATCCTCTTGTTTCATATATTTAGGTATAAATGTATAAGGAATGCTTATGATAACATTAGAGATATACTGACTGGGATCTTGCATGCTCTTTCAATTACAAACAATCCCATGTTGTTAGTTAACAACTAAATGGTTTGTAGTGAATATAGGTGTAAGAATGTTTAAAAGTAGGAAACATGGAGAAATTTTAAGATATGTTGGTAGAGAGATACTGGGATACTATAGGTTTGTGGCAAGGAATGAAAGTTTGTGAAAGGACTGGTATTTTTTATTACATTTTTGTAGAAAATTTTTAAAAACTTACTTGCTATGAGTCATTTTATAAGATGCATATTTGCAATATTTTGAATCTTATCTGAAAGAAAGCCCTATATTTGTTTTGTCACAGGACAGCAATATGCTACATGCCCAAAGTTAAACATAACTAGACTTTGAGAACATGTGTGAAAATTCCCTTTTCCTTCAAGTTTTCTAATTATTGTTAGCTATGGAGCTAATTATGATTGATTCATAATTTTATTTTTTTGTGGTTGTCAGGTGGAATATTGTCCATGTGTCGTAACCACTGACTGTTGGAACCTTGTAATGGAATTCATGCAGAGCTTTATGGGAAATCATGCTCCTGGTATCCCCTCTGTGTTCAATAATAAGCATGACAGCATCTACAATCCAGCTGATACAATAGTTCAATACATGGAACTTTTCAACAAAATTCGCAAGCAGCAGCAGGTGCCTGTGGCAGGTATGAGATGAAGTATCAGAAAATGTTCTTCAAGTAAGCAACCACTTTGTTGAATAGAAATTCAGTCCAGTGTTCTAGATGGTAGTTGTTACCCATCAAAGCAACACATCTCTGTTCTAAATATCTTTTTGTTGAAGATGAATACTCTCTCATATCAGACTCTCAGAAATCTGTGCCATAGTTACTTTGCCCTTGTTTTAGATTCAGGGAATCTAGTCATGGAAACCAATATCTGTACTGTTATACATAGGTTAAATTTTATATTAGTGAAAACATAGAATCTGTATGTATTGGTTTTAAAGATGTTGTTTGTCATTGTATTCTTCTGTCCAGTAGGTAGTACTTATTGTTTAGTTTGCATTTTGCTCCTGTAAAGCCTTTTTGTTAGTTCTCATATAAATATATCATTCTTCCCAATTAAAAAGTTATTAAAAGCTATTTTCTAATTAATTTAGTCAAGTCTTGATAAATTAAATTCAGAATTGTCAGTATCAGATCAATTCCATATAGACCAAACAACTTGACTGTGAAAAAAGTATATTTCAGTAATTGATTCTTATTCCCATCATATAAATAATCTGGTATAATTTAAAATGCAACCTGAGTTTTTTTATTCCTTGCACATGGGTAGCTGTTTAACTTGGAGAACTAGAGCATAAATATATTTGAAAAGAATGTTGGTCTTACCTGATATGTTTATTCTCTTTGGTGGTAAGAGAGTCCAAATAAGGATTAACTCTGTCTCCTAGCTGATTGGATTGAGTCTGTTAAAGGTACTTTGGCTCCACCTCTGTTGCTGGGTTTCCCCAGCTTTCAGCGAAGTCACATGACAGACTGGACTTGCCTCTGTAAGTGGGATAAGAACTAAACTCATCTTCCCCTGGCCTGCACCCCAGACCAGACGTACCCAGGGCGGGGCTGGACTCTCTTACCATCAAAGAGAATCAACATATCAGGTAAGACCAATGTTTTTTCTCCTTTGTGTGGTTGTGAGAGTCCAGGTAAGGGACATACCAAAGCTGGAGTGTCCAAAGGAGGGTCAAGTCTGGTCCTGGTCACACTGCTCTGTATGCATTCTCTGCAGAACTCATCTGTCAAACGCTGCATCGGCCGGTGCGAAGGCGTCCAAGCAGTAGTTTCTGATGAATGGAGAGGGTGAAGACCACGTAGCTGCCCGGCAGATCCTGCATGGCCCAAGCTGCCATTGTAGCCGCACTCCTCATAGAATGGGCTGTCACTCCATGAGGCAGTGGAAGAGACCTACTCTCTTAGGGTCTAGAAATGCAGGAACAGATCCACCTGCCCACAGTCGATGGTGTGAATTTACCACCCAATGTGGCTGTTGAAAAGACACGAACCCATTTTATGGAAAGCAGCAGTCCTCTAAATATAGCTCTTTAAAGCTCTACGGACATCAATCGTTTGCCACACCCGTTCTAATGCATGACCAGGGTTTGGACAGAAATTAGGCAGGATGAGTTCCTGTGCCCTGTGGAACCACAAATTGACTTTAGCTACAAAGGCTAGATACAACCTCAGGACCATCCTGTCCGAGTGAAAGATGCACAGGTCCTCACAAACTGACAGAGCCGCCAGCTCCGAGACCCTTCTAGCCGATGTTATTATGGAGACTAGCAGATCTTAGCGGTTCGAAGGGAGTGCAAGTAAGAGACTGTAATACTTTGGACAGGTCCCATGTGGGGTACCTGTGTACTACCGGAGGTCGAAGATTAGTAACTCGTTTAAGAAATCTGCGCACTGTAGGATTGTGTGTTAGGGAACCTGACTTCCCATAAGGCAGAACTGAAGATAAGGCCACTCCCTGCTGGCGAATTGTATTAGCTGAAAGTCCTTTGTTAAGGCCATTCTGCAGAAACTCCAAAATATTTGCAATAGGTACAGCTATAGGATTAAGTCCTGACTTAGAGCACCACTGACAAAAAGCCTTCCAAGTTGCATCATAAATACATTTTGTAGAAGGCCTTCTAGCAGCCTGAATAGTCTGGATAACTCTATCTGAAAGATTATCCCGCCTCAGAGAGCCCCACTCAAGCGCCATGAGGCTAGCTGTAGTCACTGTGGCTCCACATGAACCAGGGCTCCCTGATGCAGAGAGATCCTGTCTTGCAGAATTCTCCATGGCAGAGCAATGGATAAATTTACCGGGTCTGCAAACCAGGGACGGCAGAGTCAATAAGGCACCAGCAGGATGACCTCCGCCCTCCTCCAAAACCTTCCGGACCACCACTGGTAAGGGAAAAGGAGGAAAAGTGTACAAGAGGCCTGGAGGCCACCAGCTTTGTAGGGCATTGGTCCCCTCCACTCCTGAGGTGATGAATCTGGGGTGATGAATCTGGTGAAGAACCTGGGCAGTCAGGTACTGCTTGGGTTAGCAAATAAATCTACAACGGGTTGGCCGAACCTCCTTCTCATCTCTTGGAAAAGAGAGGGACCGTATGATCTCTTCTGGCTCTGCTGAGCCAGTCCACCTACACATTGTCTATTCCAGAGATGTGCTCTGCCCAAATATTTATGAGATGGTTTTCTGCCCAGCGGCCCAAGCATTCCACTTCCAACATGAGGGACCTGGACCATGTCCCCCCTTGTCAGTTTATGTGCGCCTTGGCGGCCACATTGTCATAATTAGAACATGAGCCCCCTCCACCAAATGTTGAAAACTCCTGAGGGCCAAATGAACAGGCCTCAACTCCAACCAGTTGATGTTTCTTCCTTGTTCCAGCCATGACCACTGCCCCTGCACCATTTCTGACCATAGATGCGTTCCCCATCCGGAAAGGCTGGCATTGGTCGTGATGATGAGCCTGATGGGCTCCTTGAATAGGTGACCTTTGCAGATCGCCCATGATTGCCACCACTGGAATGACCTTGTTACCGACCTCGGAATCCTGACCTTGAACAAGGAGTGACTCCTGCCTGCCCTCCCTTGGGGGCTTGCTGGAAGTCTGGGCCTCTGCCATTTTAGCCTGAAGGACAGGGAAGCATGTGCCAAAAGAGGAGGGGGTGGAAGGTGAATGCTGCAGCCCCCCCCCCCTCCAACCCCTACATGTGCACCAATGGATTTCTCCTTACCAGGTCTTCTGGCTTGATTCTGGCCGTGCAATGCCTTTAGCTAAGCTCTGGCCACACCCTGCTGGAAATCCTGTCCTGGCCTTGCTAGTGCCTTGTCATGCCAGAAGAGAGCCAAGAAATCTGTTCAGGCCCTGATCAATCTGGGTCAGGCCCTCCAAGGCTGCGATACTTGATCCTTTCCCTCAGTGCTGGGTCGCTTCCCCCAGCACTGGCACTAGCAGCAGGAGCACAGGCTGATCAGCTGTGAAGCAGGCTGATCCTCCCACCGATCCATGTTCACCACTGACTACACAGCCATGGCCTGCACGTCTGCAGCCCTGCACGCCGCTTTTCCTCAGGCAGCTCCAACAATGGAGCAAAAAGCCTGCAGCACCGACCTCTTCTTTATCTCCAAATTCTCCAAAACACACTCTTTGCAAAACTGAAAATACAAGAGGTTAAAAGACACGTCCGTCCTGGCTGAGGGACTAAGTCAAAATCTGGGGAAAGCCAGCAACAGAGGTAGAGCTAAAGTAGCTTTGACAGACTCAGTCCAATCCGCTAAGAGGTGGAGTTAACCCTTACCTGGATTCTCGCAACCACACAAAGGAGAAAGAAAGGTTCAGTTTTAAAATTCTAAAGTCGTAAACATGTAAATTTTCATCAGGATTTTATATGGATAACTTTATTCAACAGTCAAAGTCTATATGGTCAAAGTAACGACTGTTATTTTGTAACTGATTTCAGAATGTAATAACTTTTTTCTGTCTATGCATAATAAGCATTGTCCTACTGAAAGTGAGAGTAAACATTTATTTGAAGTTTTGGTTTTGTGCTCAAACACTGCAGCTGTTAATTGTATTTGGTCATTAATTCTTTCTTTTTCCATTAGAAAACATTAAAACTATATAAAATTAAAAATTATGGTCAATATTATTGATTGGCTCAAAACAATTATTGCCCAAATCATTCGTGATGTTTTTATTGGGTAAGCAACTGTCATTTTTAAGTCTATATATTAAAACATTAAAGTGCCTAGAAATGTTTCTCAGTATTTTTAACCTTACTCATTGGCTATGAGCCCAGAAAGATTTGACAAATTGTTAATATATGCAGAAAATTGTCTGCATTGTAAGCAAATGAATAATTTTAACATAAGAAAATTGAATCTGATCGATGAACCATATCCAACTTTAATATGTTGTGACTTTTGTGATTGCTGATGAACTGCAGGCAATAAAGACTGAAGACTCAGGCCTTTGGGTTGTTGATATTGTGCATTTAAAGGAGTTAAATATCTGTTCTAAATGTATATACATGGAAGTAAAACATTAAAAGTTACAAAGACTGAAGAATGGGACTTACATGTACATAGAGCTTGCTTTTTGCCTTTCTAGCCAGACTGCCTTTGTAAACAAAGTCATGACACTCATATTTATTATGATCTGGACTCCAGCTTTTATATTCCAGTACGTAAAGGTATCCCAAATATTATTTCATTACATTGCTTTGGATAGTTTTACATTTTAAGACATGATATAGAAACTTTGCTCAGCTAACTACCTATTTGATCCTTGGTCCTAATGGCTTATTAGATCTAGAATGGGGAGCGTCTGGGTCAGGAGATTTAAAAAAAATACTTACAAAAAAAGAATCATTACATCCTCATCAAAGACTGTAATATAATAGAGGAGAAATTGGCCTAGAAACTTGTGGTCAATATCTTCTTTCTGGGTCAGATGTTAAATAAAGGGTGGTTGATCAAATCCGGTCAATCTTGGATGAAAGAGGTTTATTACAGTTACTGCTGAGTCACCAGACAGTTTTTTCAGTACCTTAAGACCATAGTATCCTTTTGATACCATGAATGAATTTGTTATTCTTCTACTTGCTGATTGGGAGGATGGTATTCAAATGCAGAGCTGTTTTATCCTCCATCTGTATATAATCTACATTTGGTTTCTCAACGTTGTGGAACTTCCAGATGTGAGGATTTCTATTCCCAGAATTCTCCAGCCAGTATAACCATTACTGAGAATTCTGAGTTTAAATTAAGAGGCCATATGTCTGAACATGATTGGGAAATGCTTAAATTGCTGAGCATATCCCAAGATTTATACTAAAATATCATCAGTATGCTGATAACATGCTACTCTATCTGATTTTCGTCTGATCTGGAAAAGGTTTTGAAATACTTAGACTGGATGCAGATCAACAAATTGAAATTTAACTGGACAAGGCATACCAGTAGATGGTTATTATGTCTGGCTGGGATATTCTAAAAAATGTTGTATTTCTACCAAAATGTCTATGGAGATTCTCAGTAATCCAGGTCATGATTATTTAGAACCAAAGAAGCTTCTTGGATGAGAAGGAAAATGTTTTCAAGGGGAAAAACATCCCAAGAAAGTCCAGTTGCCATTTGAAAAGCACCATTGAGATATTTCCTTAAAGTATCAAGTTTGTGTTCTGGGGTGCTTCCAGATTTCTTCAGCAATTACAGGAACAAGTAAACTCTAGTACATAAAAGCTTTAAGCATTTATAATCTTCTTTGCACAGGCGTGGTCTCAATTTTAATTATATACAGCCTGGTAACTTCCAACTTCCCCTTTAGACCAGGGAGCTTTGCTGGCTGAGGAATTCTGGGAGTTGAAGTCAATAAGTTTTAAAATGGCCAAGGTTGGAGACCCCTGCTCTAGACTATTGATATAATGCAGCATATGTGAAGATGGTCTGGAAACTTGATTCTAAAAATTATTGGAACTAGATTCTATTGTTGGAATTCAGCGTTCCATGCAATATTTTCTATATTTATGAAGGGCAATAGATACAGAGATAATTAGCAAAAATATACTTACTTTTATTTCATTTCATTTTAAATTTTACATTTTTACCTTGTGTAAAAATGATTATTTTTATTGATAATCTATTGATTATGATGATTTTCTTTAAAATGTCACTTCCTTTGCCTCTCAGTTATTCTGATGGTTTTAGTTTTTCTTCCTAAATCCTTTAACTGTACCTGTTAACCAGCAAGGCGTTTTTCACCAAGATGAGAGACAATTCAAGATTAGGAAGAAAAAAGGGTTGTCTTCTTTTAAAAAAAGTGCTCATTACTTTACAAATAGACAAATTAAGCAGTCTGAATGGATATGGCCAACAAGGGAAACTGAGTCTATTGAAGATGCCCTTTACACATTTGGGGCCCCAGACCTGGGGGCATTGGCAAGTTTTTAAGGCTTTATTAAAAGACAACAGAGTCCCTGGCACTCTAATCTCTGAGGGAAGGAGGTTTTCAAGAGCAGAGATTTATACCAGAGAATAATATAATCAATCTAATATAATGTTAATATCCAGGAAAAGGTGTTCGAATAGGATTATCAGGTCATTATGCAAAGTAAAATAAAAGATACAATACAGGACCATGTGTTCATTGACTCCATAATCATTAAGGGAACAATACTCTTGGAGGGGGTAATATGAGGATTAAACTGCAGGGATTATTTCAGCAAAGCAGCAGGATGTCTCAGCTATATAACTCATTTCCAGTTGCAATGAATTATCAATTATCAAATGAATCAAGTGGATTCATTTCTGGAAATTTTAAAGCACTTAGAAAGCCAAAATAAAACATCTGAAGCAACTAAAAAAAGCACATTTTGCAATTTACCTTCAAAACATCAGGGGATTAATATTAATATTTTTTGGATGGAAGAAAATTAAACATTGACTTTGTAAGAATGTAATTTTAGAAAGCAATCTGAGAAAATAAGTAAAATCAAAAGCAGTATGATTTAAATTAGCAGGCAGGAAGTGCTTCCATATAAAAGACCTGTTGCCCTGTGTGGAAGAGGAAGAGATAAACTCCAAAGTAATGACTGGAAAAGAAAAAAGTGAGAGCAAAGCCAAACCTTGTATTGGCAGAGAAAAAAAATCTGTACCATAAATCTTAATAACCTACCTAACGAAATCAAATTTACTTGTGCACTGGGCTAGTATTCTAGTATTTCAAGAGCTCAAACTAGTTTAATTAGTGAAAATTAAGTACCTGTTGTACTTTGCAAATAGACAAAAATTAGGGAACAATTTGATTTGTAGAACTAATGAGGAACAGATATAAAAATGCTGATTCATGGTGTATTAAATTCCATGTTTGGAAAACAGTCTTTCAACTACAAGAACAGACAAACCGTGGGTGTAAAATTTTCCAAGAAAATTACTGCTTGGTTTATCCAGATAATGAGCTACCATGTTCAATATATAACTGAGAAATTGAATACCATAGAGGAATATCAGTATGAAATCTGGGTGAAACTATGGAATCCAAGATTTTGCCACAGAAATATAGTATGTATTTCAATTTAATAAAAGGCAAATTGACAAAGGAACTGAAAAGACATTGCTAGCCTAAGGGGGTGGGGGGAAGGAATGAAATCCATCTACTGGCCATCTAAGGGAAAAGACTCAAAAGGTAGGACACCACCTACAACACAGCTCTTGCAGAAGTGGCAAAAAGATTCCACAACCAGTTACACACCAAGAGCAAAGATAAACCCCCCCAAGTGACCTCAAGAGCTCTCAGAGCACTAACAAACCAGATGACTGCAAAGAAATACAATCCTTCCATCCCATCAAAACCTAATCTTCCATCCCACCACCAGGCTCAACTGTCAGTACCTACCTTCCACCCCTATCCCCCATCCCAACTGATTGAAGTTTCTTGGATAAGAAATGAAATGTTTTGTTCTTCCTCAAGGAAAATAACAGTCCAGTTGCCTTTTGAAAACGCCCCTTTGAGACAAATATGACCTGGATGACTGAGAATCCCGAGATATTGAATCAAAAGGGTATTGAAATTGAGCATTTAAATTAATGCAGACATCTAGAATGGGTGTCAAACTCATGTCATCACAGAGTCATCACATGATGCATCGGGACTTTTTTTCACTAAATTGGGTGGGGACAGGGCCAGTACGTGATGCATCCGGCCCATGGGCTGCGAGTTTGGCACCCCTGATCAAGAACCTTGTAACTCAATGGCAGAATTTTTATTTATGGACATTATTTATGATTTAATGTTATCATTTTAATTATTTCAATCTGAATGGCTGCTTTTTCAAATTCTACTTCTGAAGCTTTGAATATTGATAGAAAAAAGTAACCTTTTATATTAATTCAATTCTTTATTTGATTCAGTATTGTTAGTGTAATCTAGTTCTTTCACATCTTAACCACTTTTTGTATTATTTAAAAACAAAATATTGGAATTATTTCATAATTTATTACCCATTTTATGAGAAACAAAAATGTAACTCTGGGGTAAACTTTCAATTTGTCCTGTTTTCCTGCACAAGCCTTAATATATTAATTTATAGCCAGGCACTGAAGCCCCATGTTGAATAATTCCACAAATGTATGTCTTATTCAGGAAGTCAAGGAGTGAGCGAGCAATTTCTGTAATTCGTTTTGTTTTTTCCAGTCAAAACCATGATCTTTAAAACTGCTTCAAGGTATTTTCAAATAATCCAGAGAAGCTTTGCTAGGTTGGTTTGGTATAGCTGCCACAAAACACTGATACCCAAATTCTAAAGACTTTCATTGTGCTCTGACAGGTTAATATTTTGCTTTTGTCAGCCTTAAAGTTCTTCTCAACAGATTCCTGGTATTTATGCCATGAAGTTCTACAGCATTACTGCTTTGTGTTCTTTGAGGCTGTAGCATATTTTCCAAATAGGTAACAGGCTTGAGTCTAATAGAACTTTTATATGGATAGAATAAGGGTCTCTTGCTGTTTCTGCACTTTCTTGAAAAGTCTACCCTACAAATTGCAACAAATATGCTGCCTTATTTTAGCCTCTTACCTTAATGAAAAAGTTATCATAAAAAAGATGTGAAATGGGTTTATTAGGGACTTGGCTTTGGTGTTCTGTCGGATATGATTGCCTTTCATTGAGCAGGACAGGTTAAAATTAAAATTCCCATTCTTGCAACAACAACAAAGTTTTTCCCCTTTCCTCCCCCCCCAACCAAAAAACAAACAAACCAGGGAAGGCATCTGACAGGCTTGCTCAGCATGTTTGAAATGAAAGCTGTGTGTAGCACTCCCTCCTCACACTATAAGGCAGCAGCTAATAAACCAAAGAAATGAGATATACTTGGAAAGACCAAGTTTTCCAGATTCCGTTTTTCTAGTTTCTTAATGGCCACGTCATCCACGCAAAAGCAGCTTTGTGATTTTTACAGACCTCAATTGTGGTAGGTTTCTGACAGAGCCGTGGAAAACACAAGGGGAGATGGTTCAGCAGAATCCTTTGCCAAAGAGGTAGCATGAGGCAAAGGAAAGACAAGTTCTCCTTTTGGGGCTTGCTGGATATCGAGGGAGGGTTCAGACTCAAAGCCAACCAGTTTTATTCTTAAAGATTTCAGTTGCCTTATCTCTAATGCACCGTTTGGTTCTTTTCTTGACTCCCAAAGAATCCCACTGGGTGGGCGGATAAAGGCCTTCACATCTTCAAATTTTACAGAGGAGCAAAGCTCATCCCACTGAGATCATTGAAAAGGAATCTGGAAGGATGGTGGCCAAATGATTTTCCTTTTTTGTCCCCACAGTTCCCCAAATGGTTAAGGCATTTTATTGTCAATTGTATCCTTGGGTTGCCAGCACTCAACCTTCATTGTTGCAGTTTCTGATCCTGCAAAGTACTGAGCTCAGCTGGATTTTAACATAGTTGTTCTCAAGTACCTTGCTTTCCAGCTTCCTCTCATATAGAAGAAACTGAATACTCTTATAAAACTGAGATGTATAATTTTTAGGTAAGATTTTCTAAGATCACAGCTTTTCCATATTACCATTTTCTTCTATATTTCTTTGTTCACCCCTCCCCCAAAGTTGGCCTCTTTTTCTCTTTCTATTCACTAGTTCCCATAGCAACCAAAACTATCACAGCCTGCTTTTTATCCTAGGTTAACTTGATTGGCCAATACTTCTTTACTTATACATAGTGGAAGTGAAAAGTAACTTTTATGTAGTAAACATATTTTTTTTTGTATGCAGACCATTCAGAAATATCATGATAGTACATACCTTTGATTTGTATACATTTGTTTCTGCTGCTTATTTTTTATCTAGAAGACACAATAAAGCTATATAGAATTGCTTTACTATTCTATCATAATGGGAACATTTAGTAGGGTCAGATTGTTACATACCAATATATAACTGCAGAGATCAATTTAGGTGGATCTAGAGATGTCTTAATTCCATACCTAAAAATTGTTCATTCGATTGGAAAGTAGGCATTGGCAAAAACCTACCTTAACATCAGGTGTTTGGTTTATAGATAGCAAATTTAAAAATAATTCATACTGAACTAGGCATAAAGAAAAATAGGGACTATAATAACACTACCAATTAAACTGTACATCTGTTACCACTGTGGCACAAGAACATATCTAGGAGATGAATTTTCATAGATCAATTTTTAAAGTACTTTTAAATTTACTATCTGAATTTAACATCTACCAGTGTTACAATAGAATAATTGCTTGATCAACGAATAATAAAATGTACAATAATAGAGTAATTGCTTGATCAAACCAATATGATCTAATCAGCCTTATTTTGAATTGGGGATCTTCCTAGAGCTATTTAAATTTATGTCAAAAACGATAAATAGCATACTTTATGATGCAAAATTAAGAGATTAGGTACTGAATGTATCATGAATTTTACATGAATATATCCTTAAATGCATAACCTAATACCATTAATATCAATGCCAATGAATACAGAAAATTAAAGACTTACATGGCTGTGATATAAATCCAATTTTCAAGAGAATGTTCAGGATGTTAAAAACTGTTTAAGATACATATCATAAATCAAGAATAAGAATGGATATGCGTATGGCACCAACATGTAATACACAAATCACTTTTGTGCCATAGACTAAATACCAAAATTGCAATATAATTCTTTAATTTAGAATCTGTTCCTGTAGGATTGCATGACACTGCAGGACACCATATTGTAGTGTCTTAAAATCAATGTTGTTTTTGTTTTACCATTAATACAAAACTGTCAAATGGTTTTAGTTGTCACTTATGTGTTCCATTATCAGGTTTCTGTACCGTGATGCTATTGCAAATTGTGAAGCCTGAACAAGAGATATGGTGGCGAACTGGGGGGCGGGGGGGGGGGGGAAGAGGCCTGTAAAAAAAAAAAAACTCCATGTTTTGGAATGTGCAGTGATTCCAGATATGTACAAAGCAAAGTTAATCCATTAGAAATACTCCAAAATATAGTCAGCCTCTTATCTTTATTAGGATCAATCAAAACAAAGCATATTTGCAAAGTATAAAGTATTTCAAGTTTTGAATAACTCTTCATTGAGCTATTAAGCAAAATATAATTGGATTTTATATTGGAATAGTGGATGCAGGTTGGAATTAGCTGTTTCCACTTCACTGTCATATCAGAAACTATGGATCCTTTGTCTGCAATTCAGGGCATCATTTAAAAAAATAAATTGACCTTATATAAATCATAGGTAATAATCATTAAGATTCATTGTTTAACTTCATACAGGATCACAAAGCACTGATCAATTACATTTACACTATACTGAATGAACAAGGATGTGAAGTATAATTTGATGGATTAGTAGAAACCCTGTAAATGACTCATTTAATAATCACTCTAACATTTTCTTCTGAAAATGGAAATGCATTTATGTTGCCACATTTTTTGCTCAGGAAGAGAGGTTCTTCTGAACAAGTCTTCTAATGTGTTCCCTTATTGATGGAATATTACAAGGAAAGGTGGGGGGGGGAACACCTTAGTTTCCCATCACTTTTGTCATTAAAATACAACAAAAAAAAGGTTCTATTGAGGAAAGCACAATATTGTTTGACGCTAGTGTTGGGAGGTTTGTCTGGCAGCACTATAAAATTCTGGAAATACTATAAATGCAGCTAGCAAATGAGATTCTGCAAAGAAAGTAACCAACCTTCTTCTACAAAGGTTTTTTTTTTTTTTTGTATAATGGTAACAAAAAGGAATATGTAGTAATTGAAATTGATACTGTTTAAAGACTCCACTCTTCATTCACTGATCGCAGCCTGCCTGATTTAAGACTATATGGTCTTGCTCAAGCCAGACAAAATGTCACATTTAGTTCCATACAGATGTAAACTATATTAAAAGTAGATGTCATATTAAAACAATTGGATTTTCTTAATGCCTTTAACAAGGTAAAGCCATTTTCCCCCTTATTAAAACCGAAATATTCCCAGAAGAGAATGCAGCGTGTGAAGCACAATGCCTTCGAGCTAGACGAGAAACCGAAGATTAACAGATTGGTTGATCACCTGCCAGGTCGCTCAAAGACCTTGCAAGACGGCGCGGGTTATTATATTCCTGTGCTTACACTTGTAAACCTGTCAGGTGCTGCTCTGGTTCCAAGAAGCCGTGGTCAAAGAACAAATATTCGGCAGACTCCTACCCGTCCCAAACCCGAAAGAGCCACGCTCCCGCATTCACAAGGCTCTCTACGCACGCTTCAAGCAATGTCTGCTTGGAAGGTCCTGAGCTGAAAAAGCCCCTGGAAAGCCCTCCGCGAAGCGGGGGACTAACGAAATGGGTCCCTACGACTTTAAGAGTCCCTTTGTCTCGGAAACATCCTTATTTACCCTCCTGCGCTTCAACCAAACTTAACCCCATTTCCTCCTCTCTCTCTCTCTCTCCCCCCTCCCGCGATTCACAAGTCGGGGGGATGTCACAGTTCCTGGGCGGAGCTACACGTACACCCCAGCTCTGCTTTTGAGGAACGCTCTCGTCCAAAGCTTCGAGTTTGAAGAAGGGGATTCCGCCCATGCCACCAGTCAGCCATTGCGTTCCATAAAAAAAGGAGCTCGAGTTCCTTTGAGCGAAGCCGTTAGAATCGTTTTGATTCTTGAAAAGAACGCGCATCCTCCGACGCGTCACTGGCATAAATCAGGGACCATTTCCCGCTTTTTCTCGTTACGCATATGACGTTAAGAAAGAAAGGAAAACAAAAAAAAATCGTCCTCAGAAAACTCTGGACGACTTTAGGGCGCAGACGACGTAAACAAGAGAGCTGAATAGTGAAAGCGTCACATGCCGAGGGTGGGACGGAAATAATGTGTGGCGGGCGTGTTATCCAATGACAATGAGGGGCGGGGTGAAGTTGGCAGCCAATGGCAGGCGAGGGGGGCGTGTCGTGTACCGGTTGGGGTGTCTCGCGCTTGGTGACAGCTCGCGCGTGCTGATGATGGCGGTAAATAAAGGGGCCGGAGGGGGGGCGGGGGCTTTACCCCCTTGGGGTTTAGACCTTAAATAGGGGGAAGTAGGAGAGCCCTTCCTGAGTTAGAAGGGGCTCTTTTATGCGTGGTTCTAGCCGGTTGGGGAGACTACCCCCCAATTGTCGTGGAAGGTTTGAGGGGGCTCCACCCCTTTGAAGCTCAGATTCCACATTGGAGACGTGAAGGCTGTGCTCGTTTAAGCCCCACCTTCTGATTTGGAGGGAATCTCGCTCACGCGTTTGGGCAGGCCGGCAGAGGGGAAGAGGTCTTGACCCCCTAAAGAGTAGGGGTGGGTGGGGAAGAACCTTTCTTCTCTCAGCCCCTGCTTAAAGGGGACAAGGAAGGTTGTGCTCACCGAGAAGAGGGAAGCGCTGGCCCCTCTTAGAGGGAGCGGGGAAGAAGATAGGAGCCAACCCTCCCAAATGAAAAGGTGAATAGTTGTGACAGGATTTACCCGATCAAGCAAAGATATTGGCCAACAACTGACTTTTGAAGGTCTGAGATAGACTTTTTACTCTGCTTTGGTAAACACAGGCTGTGCTCTGGTGTACAGTGAGAGCTAGGAGTATATATAGTGAACCAATAGACTTCTGTGAGATTGCTTGAGGACTGGGGCGGGGGGGGGGGGGGGTGTAAACTAGTAGACATTAAACTTGCAGGATGCTGGAAGAAAGGCGCTTTAAGTAGATTAAGAACTAAACTAAGAACTGGGTAGGTGTAGCATAGTTGCTGAAAGCTAAAACAGTTAAGTGCATGTTCATAGTTGTTGCCATTTGTGGCTGGAGAGCAGCAAAAGAGTTGGAAGAAATAACTGTAGGCAAAGCAGCAATTGTTTTAATAAGTAGTATATTGTTGGAAGAGTTAGCATAGCTAGTGATGGAATAGTGATAGATAACAGGAAGACTTCATGCTGTTGTTGCTTAATCCTGTGTAGTTCTTTGTTTGTAAGTTAGAATCTTATATGGTCAATTTCAAGTAAGACATTTGTAACTTTCCCCCCCACAACATTACAACTTAAGCACCTTAACATTATTTTTAGAATGTATTTTGTGATTTGAAGTTTCATTGTTATTAGCATGTTGATATAAATAGCAAGATTTGGGGAGATCAAGTGATAGAAGTTATATGTCCCTAGGGTTGATGCAGTTGGGAATTCTTGGCCTTTAAACATGGATTGAGCTTTTGTAACAATTCATTTTCCAATTCTGTTATATAGCAACTAGGCTGTTGAAATTATTACTGTATTGTTAATACTGCATTTTCTTCTAAACATACGTTCTGATATAATTATGTTGATACAATGGTTCTTTAATATCTGCTATTTTTTATCACTGAAACATTTTAATATACAGGACAATGAAGTGTTTTTTTTTTAATGAACTAGTTACTTTGGTAGATGGGCGTGATCTTATAATGGTAAACTGCAACATAAGCAGAATCTCTAGCCACCTGCATATACTGGTATACCTCAGTTTACTGTTCTGTCTGTTTAAAAGTTTTGGAGTTCTTATTGTTTAAAAACGTATTGGCTTTTTTTCTTTCCCATCCACATTTTAATAGAAAATGAGGGGGAGCCAAGTCTTCACTCTTAACGAATATGTTTGTTAAAATATAGTATATAGAAAATAATAGCGAAGGTGTAAAATCAAGCATCTTTGGTTCTTTTATGTTTTCTCCTAAGACTTTTGTGAAATCTGGTTCCCTTTTTTGATCACAATAAACCATTTCAGGGTAGAAAAACGTTTCTTCTCATTCTCACTTGCTAAAATTTAAAATAATATTAAATACTATTTAATATTCATTAGTTTATGAACTATTGTTTTAAATTTAAATTAGAAAAATGAGAATGCAATAATGGCGAATATCTGTAGCTAAGATGAGGGTGAAGGTTCGTTCTCTGAGCTTGTGGGTTGGTTTCTGAACTTTTTGTTACCAGGCTAGGTAACATCTTCAGTGAAGTTTAGGGGATGTCAGTGTCAGTATTTATAAACAGAAGAACACTGAACACTGACATCTCTTAAACTGTGCTGAAGATGTTACTTAACCTGGTAACAAAATGTTTGGAAAGCAACTTGCAAGCTCAGAGAATGAACCTTCAACCTCAAAAATGAGAATGTCATACCTCTCCACTTATGGAGGATGTATAGAGTGAATGCTTAAAGTGCAGAATGTGGAAACACTATATTTCTAATAACACAATGTGCTTTTTTAAATGTTAACTATCCATATTGATATACTTGATGCTAATCATGAAAAAACATTGGTAATAATAGAGGCATAACATGTTCTTAAACATTTAAACAAATACTAATGGGTGATAGAATTCACATACAATTGCAAAAATAAGTTATACTCTTTCAGTTTATTGCTTTTCAATTATGTTCTTTTAAAAATATTTTTTACTATTACAATATCAAATTTTGGCTGGCTTATACAATTAAAGTGATATAATGCAAAAGGAAGAATCAAAGCATAGAATATGGATTTTAAAAGTAGGGAAGTATGGGGCTTTCCAGATACTGGATTACTGTTCTATCATCCCAACTATTGGTCGTGATGTTGGACTTCAACATTATCTGGATGGATTTTATTCCTTTTTTAAATATACTTTTACGAGCTTAATTTCCTACTCAAAAGCACCTATGACTATTTCACTTTTATATTCCTAGTTGGCTTTACTTACTAGACTTTTCTAATATAGAAACTCTAGAGGCTAGCATGGTTCTAAGTATCCATGAATAGTATATTTTAGAATTGGATTCACAGTAATGAAGTAATTGAAATATTGTAGAGAGAGAGTATTCTTTTCTTCCTAACAATCAAGATAGGTATTATTTGGCTAAGGATTTGCAATTCTGGAGAAAAGGGGTTTCCTCTGAGGGGCGATTGTATTAGGTACATTTTGCTGTGGATAACACCCATAGGAAAGTCTGTTCTGCTATTTTCATCATACCAGGTCATCCTGGCTGAATAATTCTGGTTTTAAGCTGACATATGCATTCAAAATTATCCCTCTAAGTATTTCCCAGTCTGACAAATGGTAGACAATACAAAAGCATCTATCTTTGTAATCATCATTTGTAGCAAAAAAAAAATCTGCAATACAGAATAAGAGTTATTTGTGTAGAATTACATTTTCAGTTTGGAATATAAAGTCACAATCTCCTCTTAGTTATTTTCTGTGATCCATTTAAATTCAGCTTAATTGTAAATAGTATTTGGCTGTAAAGGCTGCTGATTACCTTCTTTCTTCCACTCCAGCCACTATGTCAACTGCTGAGATGTTGTTGTATTCCAAAGAGAGTTGATAGGCATGGAAATTAGTGGGGGCTGAAGAGAAGTACTGAAACTTGAATGTTATGTATTTGGGGACAAAGGATGGGTGGGCAGTCAATGAAAGCAACAGGAAGGAGGCCCAGAATTAAAACCAGAAACTTTAGTAGAAGATTAATCAGAGAAAAATACTTAAAGTAAACTTACTGAAGGAATAGTGGATGGTGTCTTTGCTTCTGATGCAATTAAAATGTAATTGCCATAATATACAGTATCCTGTAAGAAACTATAAGAGAAGTAAAGGATAGCATATTGTGGATGTGAAAGAGCACTATAATGCTAAGAAATACTTCATTTCACATGATTTTTTTTATCCTTACCAGTATTCAGGGGTTAGCTGGATCTGCATTATCTCCAGAACTAAGTCCCAAAATACTGCTGCTACTGGTTCTTTTCACAAATGCTTCATTAGCATTCTTAAATATGCTCCTTTGTAGCAATTTTAAAAATAGATGTTGAAAATGCTAAGGGAAAAAAAGGATGATATGTTTAGATACCATTCTCAAATATACAAACAGTCCTTTTAAGCAGCTCATAAAAGGAAGATAATTTAGGTACTCCATTATCACATGTTAGCTTTGCAACTTGGGTGCAGCCCCTCTACCTATCTAGACAGTAAATAGAAGCTAGGTACTGTAATAGTTAATGCTAGACTCTCTGGGGAAAAATACCCATAAAAGTTTGTAGAAGACAAGCACATAAGTTTATTCCTTCAATCCTCTTTCAATAGAAGTATTTCCAGTAATGTTTCATAACTTCCATCTGTAATGATTTTGAATACTTCTGTTTTAACAGCTATGGAGTATATAACATTGTATGAGTATTGCTTAGGTTTCTTCAAGTTACTAAAAATTACAGTAGAGCAAAGCATCTTTGTGAAATATTATTTAAATAAATGAAGAACTAATAATTTTGAAAGAACTGTTTCCACCTTGACTTAACTCTTATTTATAGTCGTACTTATAGTTTGATTTGGATGATGTTTATATTGCATAAAAACTGTTTTATAGTAGTAGGATTTAAAAAGGAGATAACATTTTGATATATAGAAAGAGTTCAGTTGAGAAAATCTTCATTACACCTTACCCTTTGCATGTTTAATTGTCAATCACTGAATTATTTAAGAAATAAATGTAATTTAAATTCAAATTTCAATTTCTGAATGTAATAGACTATGGTTGAATTCATGGTATTTGCAAGTTTGGAAATTCATTTACATTTGTTACCTTAGCATTTTTAAATGTTTATTCTTAATTGGCTGTGCAGTAAGTTATATGTAATGCTATCATTTGTGTGGATTTTAGTTACTGATAAAGCTTGTGCATAATTGACTCAGTCCTTTGTAAGCTAGTTGTGTGTGTGTGTGCACCCTCAAGAGCTGGTAATATAAAAGAAATTGCCACAGAAATTGCCTGAAAGAGTGAAATTCAGCAGTTACCAAATCTATTGTGTCAGGATAGCAGGCAGTGCTTAGTTTTATCTGGTGTATGTTATTCTCTTATTGAAAATTATACATAATAAAGGTCCAGAATGAAAGTATATGTTAAGAACTGTTGCATATGACTGGAAATGAGGAGCTGGTGGGTACATCTGGAATTTGTGAAAATACCAGGGGAACTCTCACAAAATGGATGTTGGGGAA